TATATATATATATATATATATATATATATATATATATATATATATATATATATATATATATATATATATATATATATATATTCGTATATTTTCACTTTTGTAAATTCAATAGTAATTCAGTTCACAAGGCTGTAAATATTGATTCAATTAAACGTTCTATCTATCTAACTCTATCTGCTTGTAGTCGTTCCCTAAAAAAGAATAATTGCAGACCAGACATCTGAGTTTACATCAATAAGAATAACAGCATACCCTTTTGACGACTACATTGAGAGGAGTATGGAAGATATTTTAATTTTTAATAAATATTTTTTATATTACTTGAAAACCAAACAATCCGCCATTTTGAGACGTCATTGTTGCCATAGCAACGGCAGTTGCGCAAGTTTTGTGAAAAAACAAACCTTTTGGATGTTGTTTTACATCAGTAAGACACTTTTTGTTTTTGAACAAGTAGTAATTTTTCAAAAATACGGATCTAATATTTTACATTTTTTATTAACTGTATTGGGCCACCTTAACCGCTAATTATGGCATAGCTGTTCGTACTTGAAATCAAGACAGTCGTGAACCAAAAAGGTCGCTTTCTTAAGCTCTCGCCCTTCTGGTAAACTAGTGTAAGTAGGGTTTTGGTTGGCTCTCTCATGTCCTGTATCTGTATTTTTCTTATACCACACCAAAAAATCTTACTCGTTGAGCACATGTATTGTGGGTCTCTCACTCGGAAAAATTAGCCAACCACACTTCGCAGTGTATTAAAACGACATAAATGAGTAATTAAAATGTTCTTCTTTTTTAGATTAACACAGTAAAAGGTATGAAATGTTGGGCTTGTTAAACATATTTCAGTGTATATCGCTATTTTACTCCTTCGCAATATAACAAAATTATATTTTTAAATTTATTACTGATTTAGATGAAGAACCGTTTTGTGACACAACGAAACTATCTCCTCCGGAACTTACTCGATTGGCTCCACAGATTATCCGGAAATGGAGAGAAATTGCGGGATTGGCTGAACTGGATGAAGGTGAAGTAGAAAACGTAAATCAGAGTAACATTCCCTACCCAGAGGCAAAGGATAAAGCCAGAAAAATTTTGACTATGATCAGCAACAAACCTAATTTTAGCCGCAAAAAACTTGCAGAACATTTAGAAGAAGTAAAATTATGTAACCTGGTGGATGTGGTATTACGGGGAACGTCAAGGCTTTCTCCCCATGGCGCTGGTTCGCAAATCGCTTCACCAAATAAAACTGTCGAAAGTAGGTAGTGACTTAAATCGGCTTCTTATTGTATTTGGCTCAAGAGGAGATAGAAAATTTAAAAACAAATTATTCGGAAATGGGCGTAATGGCAACGTAAAAGCTGTTTTTGCCCCCTTTTAAAGTGATTAGAATAACATTTGTAATTATGAACTGCATGCGTTATTCAATAACCTTCTATAGATTTAAGATTTGAATCATGTGTGTTCTGGGCCATTCATGATTATTACATTTGCACATTTCCCGCTAAAATTGGCTTTTATGTTTACTGTATTTTTGGACATGAGCGCTGCGAATATAAATGCACCAACCAAAATATTAAAGTCTATAAATCTGGTAGAAAGCAATCCGATAAAGCTGCAAGCGATTTTTGTCGTATTTCCTTAAAGCTGAAAAAGGTCGCTTCTTTAAGATTTGATAAGGAGGGGAATATTCACCATGCATATATTGTGTTAGTTTCCTATGTGAATACATCAGCGGAAAAAGACTTTATCTTAAGGGTATGGGCAATGGGCATCTATCTTATTGCTTCATCTGAAAGAGCATGAAAAAATAAGCCGATTGGCCGTTTACTGCTCTATTCTGTCTCATCTGGTTCCGAAGTTATACGCAAAAATGTGCAAAATATAAATTGCTGATTCAGCACAACGTGTGACGTCATTAGCTGGGTAAGTATGTTTATTGAATAGTAAACTAAAGCATAGCTGAGTTATTATTGGCTCAAATCAACTGAAATTTTGCATACAGAAAGCACATGATGAGACGCATGGGAAAATACTTCTAATTTCGTTGTCAATGCAACACAGTCGTTCCCAGGCCCCTTACACTGATTTTGAATAACTAGTTGCATTTGTCTATGTGTATGTCATTTTCGAATTATTATCATGCAAGTAAACTTTCGGCATGCATAGGTATTGTACACATACTTCTAATATTATTTTATTTTTATCAGTACCTTGAATAAAGCTGTTTTATAAAATTGGCGCAAAGGGCCTGGGAACGACATTGTTACCTTGGCAACAAAATTAGAAGTGTTTTTACATGCGTCTCATCATGTACAATCAGTATCCAAAATTTCATTTGATTTGCGCCCATAATAACTGAGCTATGCTTCAGTGTAGTATTCAATAAACATACTTACCCAGCTAATGACGTCACACGTTGTGCTGAATCAGCAATTTATATTTTGCACATTTTTGTGTATAACTTCGGAACTAGATGAGATAGAATAAAGCATTAAACGGCCAATCGGCTTATTTTTTCATGCTCTTTCAGACGAAGCAATAAGATAGATGAAGCAATTTTCATTGCCCATACCCTTTAAGCAAGAGTAACAAAACTTACATGATTGAGCTGCCTCGTACCCAGGCGCTTTAAATAATTATAATACATGAAGTATTCAGGTAGGCAGGCGACGCGCGAAGGGGCTGTTGGGAAGGATGCGTGCTGGGGAGCGCCTGGCAGTTCTTGTATACTGTCATGCCGGACAAACATGGAATTTAATACAAAACGTTACTAAATCGTCATATACTCTGTGTGTAAAACCTTATTTTCTGACGAAGAATCGAATTGAACGCCATTGGCAAATAATAATAAATTTGTAGATGTTTGAAGACATACAAAATGCGCGAAAAATTATGAGTAAATTACATGGCAAGTTAACCGTGCGAATATTTCGAATATGCATGGTTCGGTACGTATTACATGGAGAATAATTGCATATTACATGTCATTCGGTATTACATGGAGAATAATAGGATGCTATCAGTTGCTTAGTATAAAACAGAAACAGAGAAATGATTAGAAAGTCATATAATTGCTTTTGTATTAATAACTTCTTTAGCTTAAGGCTCGATCAGTCGATCACAATGCCAATGGCAATTTCTATTAAATGTATACTGTAAACAAATGTCCAAGTAAATAAAAGTTCACAGCCGTAAAGTTTGAAATATTTATTACAACAGTGCAATTTTATAGTTTGTACCTTTATATAGTTATAGCTTACAAATCTAGTTCCTGCAAGTCTAGTTCTTCAACGCTTCGGTTGTTGACATGTTAATATTGGAATTTCCATGGACTTTAAATAAGGCATATGTCATATATACCAAGAATAACAGCATGAATTCACGCCCAGATGACAGAAGAATATTAACATGAGTCAATTCAACAGAAAACAAGAAGCAAAAAATCGTAAACGACAACGAAATATCACAACTTGCAAGAAATCGTCCAAAGCTGCAAGAAATCGACCAAGAACTGCCAGGCGTCTCGCAGTTCAAGTGCACTCCTCCCATCAGCCCCTTCGCCCATCTCTCCCCACTACAATACTTCATGTAAACTCGTCATATGCGCATCACTGCTTTTTTACAAAGAGACGCCTGGGTAGGAGGCAG